ATGGATCAATACTTGTATCAGTTCAATTTCCACAACTGTTATTTCACTTGATCTAGATCTAATATTCTAGTAATAATCAACTCTGAATTTGCCCTCCCCCATTATCTTAAGGTGTATCACAGAATTCTCAAGTCAAATTTTACTTAAATTCATCTTAATTCGGTATGCCCACATGCCTCACAGCATTTTTGGGAAGTGAGAAAAATTCTGACAATGACAGATTGTCACCAATTCAGAAGAATTAAAAACAGCATGACTGGCAGAAACAATGTAAGCTCTGACGACAGGCTGGACACCCTCTCCCTTCACAGCAGTTAGTTCAGAGCTCAGAGCCCTTCCTGAACCAGGCTGCTGGGATGCTCCTTCAATTTACTAATGACCTTGAGCAAATGACTTTAACATCTCTCTTGCCTTGGCTTCCTCATTTATATAAATGGGTATAGCAATACCGTCTACCTCAAAGGATTGTTGAGAAGATGAAATGAGTATAGTGCTGTGAAAAAAGGTTGCTGTCTTGGACATATAACTTTACCTAAGCTTTGTCATCGGTTAAATTTGGTAATGCCTCCTTAACAGGGTTATCTGAAAATTACAAAGCTAAGCCTGTAAGAAACTTACCTGTATAAAGAGCCACAGAGGACATCTATTTTATGCCTAGTGCTATACCATAAGCTTTACATAGGCTATTTCATTTAATTTTCACAGTAGTGTCACAAAATAGGTAGTGTTTATTACCAGAGTGAGATATTTAAGTAACTTGCCTTAGATCACAAAGTGAGCAAGTGGCTAAACCTTGACCCTTAAATAGATGTTACAAATGCATTTAACTTGGGGTCTTTGATTGGAGCCTGGCTAAATAATCAGTTATAAAAAGACATTTTTCCTGGGAGGCCAAAGCACATGGATTGCTTGAGCTCATGAGTTTGAGACCAGACTGAGCAACAGTGAGACCCTGTCTCTAAAAACTGGTGGGGCACTGTGGCAGGAGGCCTCTAGTGCCAGTTACTTGGGAGGCTGAGG